GTACGTGAGGGTAATACGGTAACTTTAAGCTTTGCTGCCCTATAAAACCAAAACTAGCAGGAGGACAAAGACAAAAACATAAAGTCGTATAATATAACTTATATATTAATTTAATAATAGCAAACTAGTTTCGGCAGTAAATAATAACACTTCAGACTATCAACTTAAAAAACTAACTACACTACACAATACTAAAATCGACTAAAATATTTACTATTACGTCAACAGGCAAAATGACGTCGATAAAGCAGTGTACTTTTGACCCTTTATTATTTGATTGACCGATGAAGAGCTACCGTATCCCACAACCATCTATACAAACACGACTGTAGTTTTTGTGTAATAAGAAAGTGCCCATATTTACCGAGTGATCTTATTACCCTGACGTACTATACTAACTAGCTTTTACGTAGTAATTTTATTTTATTAAACTAGTATTCATATTTCCGTAGATTTTGATATAGGTTACTTAGAACCAACGATTTAAAAGTAATTATAAGCCAACTTTCCGAGTATTGACCGCGTATATTGAAAGTATACAACAACAGTAAGCACAGGGGACTAATCGCATATAGTTTCAATTTGTTATGAGCATAACTATTTTTAGAAACTATACATGGCTATTACGCTTTTATCGCGTATACTTTCCAATAATGTACGCTTAAACTTTGAGCGAAAAACATACTGCACTAGTTAAAAACATACATCGAGCATGTGTTGCAGAGTGTATATTATTAATGTGTGTAGATAGTATTTGTATGTTATACAAAATACATCACTATGTTATACAAACACAACACTAATATTATAATTAAACTTATAATTATTTCCTGTTCGCCTGACAATTCCGTAATAAAAATAAAAAATAAAAGAAAATGTACTATACAATACAATATAATACAATACTCTTTATTGCACACAAAATAATACAAAGAACAACAAACTTAAATTGGGGATAAATTCAACTACAATTAGGTGGCCCTTATCGCTAAACTTCCAGACAAACCTTGGTGAAGGAGATCTTTTACACATAAAAATATAGAAGTGTGCATAAAATGTAGTAGATAAAAAAATTAAAAATAAACATACATAACACATAACATAGATATAATCATACACACAAATATATATACATAACATATAAAATAAATATTTTTATAACACATTATAGCTATATACATACCATATATACACAAACCTTATCAAGTATAGTAGATATGAGAATGAAATATATTAAGTAGAACACATATTTAAATAATAGCTTTTCACCAGTATTTTGAAAGACTCAATGATTACTACTACTATGTAGATTATATAACATATATTGACTAATATTGACCCTTGAAGTAACTTCTGTAACAGCTTCGGCGCTGCGGGAAGTGCAGCTCCTACGCCCTTTCGTAGCAAATTTCTGGTACCCGTGCGGGCCGTAGCAGCGGGCAGGGGCTGCTCTCCCTCCGCGCCTACGGACAAAAACTCTCTAGGGGTAGGGCAGACAAGACTACGTAGAGTTGGGGCGTGCTGATTCAGTTTTAGAATCTGTCGAAATGATTCGACCAATCATCTAATTAGCCGTGTTTTCACAATCACCATAGATTTTTTCCGAAAATTCTGTTTATCATATTATTATCCTACGACATGTACCTATAAAGTACACATAATTATATTTAATTATGACAATGAATGCCGTAAAAAAATCAAATTGACAATTAATTGTATTTCTTGTTGAAGGTAGGACATATTATGAAGATGAATAAGGTTTAAGTGCCTCTTTTATAATAAAAATAATTTTGTCTCTCACAATGGACTTTATTATTTTAACAGTTACCCTTAAATTGCCATAAAGTAATAACTACATGATTAGTTGATAACTAATTGTTGCATATTTTTTTAATATAATGATAATATATTTTTTTAATACATACACTTAGTAAATTTCTGAGCTAGTATACTTTACTAATACTTGTTACGCGTTTAAATCCTAAATGTATACAATGTCAGAACATGTCGGTTCTAGCCTTGTATAAAATCTCCTAACTAATTTTATGAATCAGCGTTAGAAAGTGTACGCGACTAGTACGCAGAAATCATATATATATATATTCTGAAAAATTTATTTGCTACACATTCTGAAAACCTACAGTGTAAGAACACTATGAATGAGTGCTGTCCTTGTATACTTTTAATATACGCGTTGACCGCTACTTCTACGGATTTATATTTATGATATATCAACAAAATGTATATTGAAATCTATAACTTGATGAGTAGAATGCAAAAAATAACAAATAAAACGCAAGATATAAATGTGTAAAATCACTTTATATAGGATAGTTATAATAAAAATGTCACAACAGGGAATTGCCACGAAACTACCTTATAATACACATTTAGGGATCGCTTACACTACGTACTCTAAGCATTCTTACACTAAGTTTCCGACTTAAGGTTACATCACATATAAACGAGATTTTTTTAATAATCCATAAGTAACAACGGCCGATATATTATGAACATCTTACTCCATTTCAACCCGTTAACTTATTCAAATACCGATGAAGTTAAATACTTACCTTAATTTTAAAATGCGTATTGTTAAATCTTGTCTTAAGTACATTAAGGCGTTAACAATAATATAATGTATAATAAACATTATCGAATAGAAATACAATGTATTATATAAATTATGGTAAAAATATTGGAATGTAAATCATTATGAAGTTGAACAAGCCGAAATGAACAAATGAAATCTTTTATATGTTACGGCAAAAGCCGAAAAATGGCTACAACTCGGCAAGTGCGGTTGGTTAAACTCAGATGTTATCGATGTACTTTTTTTGTATTTATGGGTAATGTTAGAAGAAATAATAAGCCTAGATTTAACTGGGTTTATGTCGAAATACCTCATGACAAATATATAAAATAGATTACTGTTCACAACTTTGGTCCCTAACCACAATTTAACCTACTGTCGCTGATATTAAGTTGATTGGTGCTTTGGCATTTTTAATAAAGTTAACAGAAGCCATAGTTTTTATGTGGTAGAGCTATGCTGCAGTTATATTAGTAGTATAGTTGTCGCACGAATGGGTCGGCTTGACCGGGGAGGGACCACGCTCTCACAGAATACCAACGTCAAATAGTAGCTTAATGCTGCTGTGTTTTGTATGCTGAGTGTAGAGAACCGGAGACCCTTTTTACTGGAAACGAGGGATTCCACCTAAGTCCTCACGGGTGACAACGCATCTGCATTTTGATACGTAATCGAGGATAGATGCAGATGTCTACTGCCCACAGCAACCACTTGCCATCAGGTGGACTGTGCTCTTTTGTCACTTTATCCTATAAAAAAATTATAATTTAGACTACTAGCCATAGTTTTACTAGAAAGCTAGCAGGCAAACCTAGTCCCTTTCATGTCATGGCTGCACTTAGTTGTAGCCGGCTACAGAGCTTAGATGTGGTGTAAATATCATTATTTAAAGAGTCGGCTTTTAAGTTACTTTATTCAGATTGAGTAGTTCTTAATATTTTAAACTTCGAAATTGTACTTCGAGTTTCTTTCTTGATCGGGATAAGCATGATTTACTTGTGGAAATATATATTTTGAAAGGGGATCAAGCTATCATAACAATCGAAAAATATTCAATAAATAATGAATACTAACTGTGTCAAATTACTATAATACGAGTACATGCTGACGTATGACTCCTAATACGTCTCATCTTTCTCTTTCTCGTCACATTTTTCTCTTAACAACTGACTTAATAAAAAATGCTAATATTATGAGTGATTAGGCCATAGTTCTAAAAACATCAGTTATATTGTGCGACAGTGAAAAACATTTGCCTTTTATTTATGTGAAGTCTATTTCGATATTATGCCATATTATTATAGTTAGGGTGGCTTTCACAACATGAAATTGTATTTATTAGTCGTATAATAAATCTTGCATAAGATAATAGTACCCGGATGACCGAGCTTTGCTCGTTTTTTTTTAAATTACATTTAGATACAAATTACATACTGATGAAACATAAATAATATTTTTGATCTTATTGACATAATAGAAAAAACTGAACTGAAAGGGCTCGAAATAATGGATTTTATCACAAAAGAAGGAAACTTGAAAAAAAAAGGAAAAAAAAGTCGGACCGTAGTCAGGACGCGAACCAAGGCATTACGATTTCGCGACCGCTCGATATCCACTTGAGCTATTACGATCATTAATAAAATGTCAAAATTTATCTTCTTATATTGTAGCAGTTTTTCATTTCCTGAAAACGCGGACAAAAAGACATTTTCTAAAAATAAATCCTAGCTAGATGGATTTATTGCCCCCGAAACTCCCTGGACACAAAATTTTATGAAAATCGTCGAAGCCGTTTCCGAGATTCCGCACATATATATATATATAATATATATATATATATATATATATATATATATATATATATATATATATATATATATATATGTATATATATATAACGCTCGTTTAAAGGTATAGGATATACCTCAGTTCAAATACAAAATTTTAGAAAACTTTTTAAATTTCTTAAAGATGCTCACCAAATTTTAGATAAAAATTTAGATAGAAATTTTAGATAGTATTTATTAAAATTCAATTAATTCAAGCAATCCATAGTCTAACAAATACAATAGGAAATATTCAGTCACTATTTTAAAGGCAGTGTTCATTTTTCAGTCGTAAAATTTTAAACACATGATATGACCTTAAATAGTTGGATAATATAGGCTTTGAATACATATGAAAATATCCAGTTCATCAGTTTCATAGTTGACAAAGAGATCAAGAAAAACATTATGCATATAAAATGTAATACTCTAGAAGGTTGTCAATCACGAGGTTGGTATCTTATAGCTGCCTACAATTTCGACGGTTTATTTTGATATTGTAATACTTCAATACCTCCCAGAGAATTACAAAACAATAAGTTAAAATGGAGTAAGAGGTATTAACGGCTAGCGTTTTAGAATTATCTCTTATTTTTATTCTTCATAGTGAGACGCCGCCAGAAGCTGGTCTTCTCAGCAGGAGGCTGCTCCTCCCTTGTTTCCTCGGTCCTCGTCTCTCCTCGAAGCATATCCAGGAACGTCGGATCGTTCTTGCGGACGTTCTTTTCGATTTTCACAGCTTCTGCGCTGAGCTCCGCTTTCAACTTCTCCGGGCTCGTGTTTTCGACCTTAAACTCGTTAGGGTCTTCAACGAACGCCTGTTGGAGATCGCGCATAATCTTTTTTCTTATGGTCTTTTTCATACTTAGGTGTCTCTCCAAGGTCTTTACGTCACCATTTGGGTAGGTGCGATAGTCCTCCTTCTTCTTTCGCGCAGTCTTCTTGTCCTTCTCCTCGTTGTCATTGTACGGCTTGGCGTCGTACTGCTGGTTGAGACTGAAGATGTCTCGCAGGTGGGGGATGGCCCTCTCTGATGTCATTCTGGACGCGCAAGCTCCGCTCACGCACGGGTCAGGATATCACAGAAACCTCATAGTGGGCCCTGGAATTGAGAATGAGCAAATTTGAATAAAAAGAAATTATAACTGATCACTATTTAAATTAAAATGAGTATTACAGGTATCTACAGAGTAGTGGGTAAAATTAGACTTTCAAATTAGTATCTACGTAAAGTCAAGTCTATTTTCATTTTAATGTCATTAAATAATCGGTTTATAAATTTAAAAAAATGAGTTAACACGATATTTTTATACATTTAAGGATAAAAAACCATCACACAGATCACAGTCCAGATAGTAAGTGGATGCGACGGTACATATGTAGTTACATTTACGCATTGTCGCTTTTAAGGACTAACCACCTTATTCATATGTTTGTCTCATTTTGACATTTGCAAGACACTTGTTGCTAGAAAGTGACAAAACACTATTTAACTAATCAATCGTTTAAAAATGTTTATGAATAAGGGGGTTCGATGAAATGCCTTGTTACCAATAGGATCTCCAGTTCTTATCTATCATGTATGTTTCTAAAATGTTAACTTTGAATAATATAGTCGAAATTATTTTCACACGTACGTTGCGTGCCTATTAAATCCACCGCACCGCACGCAAAATATATCTATATTCGGGAATATTCGGAAAACTTTGGAAAATTATGCAAATGCGTCGCTAGGTTGCTATTAATTATTATATCTCACTTTAAAATATTAAATAGTATTTAAAAATGTTATGAGTTTTAAATTATCTACCATCCATTCGTCCTTCGTTACCTGTTAATAAGGAATGAAATTATGGAAGACATGCAGACGGACCTGCCCACTTAACTGAATGAACATTATACTTTAGTAATATAGTACGTGAGGGTAATATGGCCATTCGGTTAATACGGTCGCACTTTATTATAACTCAAAAACTACAGTCTTGTTTGCGAAGGCTCTGTGATACGATAGCTCTTCATTAGTCAATCAAATATTATAAGGTCAAAAGGGCGCTGCTTTATCGACGCCATTTTGACAGCTGAAATTATAGTAAGTAAATATTTTAGTTAATTTTAGTATGTATTGTGTAATGTAGTTAGTCTTTTTTTAAGTTGATTTTTCCAAGTGTTAATAATTGTTCCCAAATCTTGTTTGCTATTTTTAAATATTTAGTTATAGCATACGACTTTGTGTTCTTGTCTCTGTCCTACTGCTAGTGTTTGTTTTATAGGGCGGCAAAGCTTAAGGCGACCGTATTACCCTCACGTACCTTAAATGTTTATTCATAAAAAGGACGTGTAGTATTTAATATATAATAGTATATATAGACTTAATAATAGAAACCATTACCCTATATAGTGCCATGGGTGTCCTATGAGGCGACATAGGGGAACTGAAATAAAAGATGGGTAGCAGCATCTTTCTGTAACTCATAATTTCACAATTGTTCTTATTTGGATAGAGTCCTATCTACGTAACCGATCTCAAGCTCAAGATTTCGTGGATGTCCCATCTGGAGTCCCTCAAGGCTCAATATTGGGTTCGTTTCTGTGTGCATCATACTTGTATGATATAGGAGACTGCTTTAGATTTTCCTAATTCCTCATGTATGTGTGTCCTCATACGACACTAAAATTTACTGATGATGTTGATTGCTGATGCCCATTTTCTGTTTTAGTTGTTTTCTACTTGTTTCAGTTTCCTTAATTATGTTGCGTGTTACGACACCCACTGAACGATATATTATTGTAGTGGATATTCTTACAGCGCCACTACATAGCGTATGTTTCATTATAGTGAGTAGAAATTACAATTATAAAAAAATTACGACTTAAGAAAGGCGATACCCTTTCCCTACACCGTCTAATAATTATAGACAATCCAAGGGTTTCAGTATCTTCGATGTCCGTATACTAATTGTTCGTTGTTAAACTGTACCTCAAAAGTGTGGAATAATTTGTCAGCTTCATCTTTACATTCAATTACGACATACGTATGTTCAAGACAAAGCAGGGGTGAAGTTTGTTAAGCTGAGCCGATGCGCTTTACAATCTAAAACTACGTCGTCCCTTACTATCAGTTGGTACTGGAGTGAAAGATTGGCATATAATTAGTGAAAAGATATGTTCTGCCAAATAGTTTTCCTTTATCCGAAAGTGTTCAATTGCTTGTTTTTGCGAGAATCGCTTCAGTCGACAAATCGGCGAAGTAAACATCGTATTATTAGTATAAGTAATTCTAGCACTCTGCAGCTGCCTGCGAGAGCGTTCCCGTAGAATTTTCCGTAGCAAGATCGACATAACGCGTCATTGCTCCTGCAAGGCGTGGGTGTGTGTACTCATGAAGGAGAAAACACTGCATTGAAATTTTTGCTTATTGTTGCTCATCTTTCGATCGAGCAAGTGTGTACCTTCTTACCTCATGTTAATATCTCATGCGTTTGTATTATAATAAATATTTTAAATTGCGAATTACAAATGGCGACAAACGAAACTACACTTAATCGTATAAATACAAAAAAAAATTAAATCAATTTCTGGGTATATGTGTAGTGTAGCCCCCACGAAAATTATATTAGTATTAATTGTGGAATAGGTGAATTATCAAATTAAAGTCGTCTTAGCAACGCGTCTCTTATTGACACGATTATTTCAAAGGGTTAGGCAGTTAGATCATTGCCGACGGACTTCATGATATCTCCGTTTTTATTTCACGAGCAGGTTTTCTCGCGGTTCCTCCATTGCCGAGAACGTGGTAAATCAGGCCTTAATCATGAAATGATATTTTTTATGAGAGCATCTGTGTCAATTATTGGACTCGTTTTATGCATATAAAACTGTAAAACGAAGTAATTTCGAACCCAAGTTCAGACCTCAAACCTTTCTTTTTGTGAACGTGTTGGAGCAAACTACATTGCACCAATAATGCGGGTGGATTTCATACTATGTCCTTGAAAAAAAAAAACATTAAAAGCAGTAGGATAACTTATGGGTTGTATCACGTAGGATGAGTCTCGCAATAAAAACAAAAACTCTTTCGTTTCTAAATAATTTATTGCGACAGTATCGTTTCAAAAACGTAACTACTCGTATCTTAAAATGTAAATTGTAACTATTTGCCATATTTCCAACTTATTTTTTATGTTAAATAGCACGTAGCAAATGACAAAAACGTGTCTCATTTGCAAAACGTCACATTTGTAAATCTGTATCACGGTTCTAGTAAAAAAAAAAGTACAACCGCAATCACTTGTCCAATAAAACGTGCTTTATGCGTCAAGGACATGCACTTAACAAAACGAACGTTGTTCGGATATGGTATGATTATATGAACAATATTTTTTTTAGTAACGATATTATTAAGAATAGATCGTATTATTAATTTAATGATCAACTCAATGTAATGTAATCTTTATTTATTTTAGGCAGAATAAAAATCAGAAACTCAGCCATGGCCGTGGTAGCTCAGATGGTTAGCGTTCGCTGAAATCTCACAGTACGCGAGCAACCCGTGTTCAATCCCCGCCGGCACAAAAGCAAATATTACTTGCAATTTTAAGTGCTGATTTATCACGTCTTCGACGGCGAAGGAAAACGTCGTGACGAAACCTGCATAACTGAGAAATAAGGAAAAAATATATTTTGAAGTTATGCGAATTTCGCCAACACACACTGGGGCAGCGCGGCAGACACTTCCTTGCCCTAAAACCCTCTCAGAAATAACTTTACTTTAACTTAACTTTAAAACTCTTTTCCAAGTTAACACTCCGAATAATTTTGCTGTGTTACAGTTTATGTGTGATCATCTTTCTCATTATATAAATAATTGGGGCAGCGCCGCGGACACTTCCTTCTTTTTCCTTCCAACCCTCTCAGAAGTGAGAGAAGTCTTGTGCCAGCCCAGCAGTAGAACGTATATAGGTTGTAAATATTAAACTTTAAATTTAACATCATTCATCTAGAAGTTCACTACTGTCTCGTTGTTCCCGGGGTTTGAAAGCCGGGTCAAGTCAAAATCAGTTATTAATTATTATGTTTTTCTGTCAAGAAAATCTCAGTAGCAAACCGGAGTCAGGAAGTTGTCAGTGTTTTATCCCCGTTCCGCGAAAAGTACGTAAAGCCGTGGGTTCAGCGCGTGATCGTTCTCCGATTGTGTTGGATTACCGTCCCATCGTACTAAAAGAATAAAGGAATAGAGTGCACACACACATACACACCATAATCCTGTCCTACGTAGGTTAGCCTCAGTTAAGACTAGTCGCTTTATCTTTTAAAACAACAATATAATGCTTGGCAGACGAATCGAAAGCTACAGTAGTCTGTGAAAAGAGAAACGTTCAAGAAACAATGTAGGATTTGAGCAATTTGAGGGCGTTGAAGTGTTAAAATGGCGCTTTTGTTGTTTTTCTTTTTAATAAATTGTCATAAAAGTTCGAGTGTTGGTTTTTGATACAAAATAAAATATAGCAGCGTATTTACTAATGAACTGTTTTGTTTTTGTACCTACTAGATGTTTTAAAAATATATTTAAAAACCCATACTCTAGTTTACTAGTCGTCAAAGTCGGCTTGCTTTCTGTGCAGGCTATAGCAGACACAACCTTTGTAGGGAAGCTACTTCCATATAAAGATGAATATAACACTATTAAGCTCTGTCTGTTTTTAAAATGATAACCAACGCCATCTGTAGGACAGCATGGTAACGATGACACGACTCAACCGTTTACTAAACATTAACCATGGTGTAAGAATATCCATTAACCCTCAAGGTCCCACGGGTGTCGTAAAAGATGAAGAAGGGAAACTGAAACAGCAGCAGGCAGCAGCAACTTCCTGATAGCTTAAAAAAAGCCTGGCTACTACGGTAAAATCTCCCCGAGAGGTCTTTTTTTCAGCAGTGGACTTCTTATAGGCTTCTTTATTCATTTTTTTATAGGCTGTAATAGATGGGTGGAATGATGGTGTCGTATCTATATGGTTACGATAACTGATATAGTGACTGG